AAGCAAACACTGCTTGTTCCTACACCATCCTCACAATTGTTATTATGTTTAACCCCATTGTTGCAGCCACCGTGTCAACCTGTCTCCTCTTTTTGGTTGACCTTCTACTTTACTGAGCATGATGTTCTTTTCCAAGAACTAGTCTCTACTGATAATAAGTCCAAAGTATGTGAGATGAAGTCCCGCCACTCTTGCTTCTAAGGAATATTTTGGCAGTACTTATTCCAAGACAAATTTATTCTTCTGGCAGTCTATAGTACTTCCAATATTCTTCACCAACACCATAATTCAAATGCATAAGTTCTTCTGCAGTCTTCTTTACTCATTGTCCAACCTTTACATGTATTTGAGGCAATAGAAAATTCCATGGTTTGGGTCAAGTACACCTTAATCTTCAAAGTGACATGCTTGATCTTCAACATGTTAAAGAGGTCTTGTATAGTAGATTCGCCTAATTCAGTACATCATCTAATTCCTTTACTGCTGTTTCCATTGAGTATTGATTGTGGATCTAAGTAAAATAAAATCTTTGATAACTTCGATCTTTTCACAGTTGTAGAAGCAGGCAAGATGTTAGGGTACAGACTTCTCCTGACTCATTAAACTACAGGGACTGATACACTGATGATCAGTAGGAAGATGACAAGCTTCTGGCTGCAGAAATAAATGAGTCCATGGTCAGTAGGGCAAGATTGTGGCTACAAAAGTGATCGAGTCCAGGGTCAACAGAAAAATGGCAAGCCACTAACTCTGTCTAAGACCTGCTGGCAATGTAGCAGGCTGTTAACTCCAGCCTCAAACTGGGGTGATCCAGGAGCCAGATGCAAGATCCAGATCCAGCGAAAAGCCAACTTTTCCATAGTGGAAACAGGCCACACTCTCAAGGATAGCTCAGACTGGGAGATTACAAGGGGGTGGGATTCCTATTAGGTCTTCACTGCCAAACCAGGACCCCTGGTGGAGGAGTGGTTATCCACTGGGTTGCTCACCATAAGGTCAGCAGTTCAAAACCATCAGCCAGTCTTAGGGAGAAAGATGAGGGTTTCTACTCCCGGAAGGAGTTGCAATCTTGGAAATGCACAAAGATAGTTCCATCCTGTCCTACAGAGTCACTATGAGTTGACTAGATGACAGTGAGTTTGGTTTTTGTAACTGCCAAACCACTGAGAATCCTGGCCCAGCTGAGCTGACACAAGACTTTATTCACAATGTCCTTTAGAGCTTTTTCTCCCAGCCAGAAGTCAGTTCAAGATCACACACGGGCATGTCCCCTTGGTCTCCTTTAATGCAGGGAGATCTCTAGTGCTCTCTCTCACATACACAGCATTGATATTCCTACATAATCTAGGCCAGCTATTTTCCAAACTGTGCTTCAATTTTGAATTTGTTGTTTCATTATTTGATTTGAGTAAATATTCTTATGTTTTAAAATAATTTCCTTAAATTTCAGTTGTTTAAAATGCGAATGAATGTTAAACATTATATAACAAATTTTGCTGGAATATTGTGTGCTCTTTCATTTCCCAAATTCAGTTTCTTCTACATTTCAGGGAAATTTTTGTATTTTAAAGCATAAAATTTACATATCTGTCTTTCCTAGGTACTAGCTTCTAATTGTGTTATTTCTTGTTTTTCCTTCTGCATGTATTGTGATTATCTAGTTTTTCCTCTATGTCAATGACCAGATTTTCAGTGGTAATTATTGGGTTCCTTGCGGTTTCAAATCTGCTAGTTTTGTAACATGCTGCTTTGTTTCCTTAAGTCGGCAATCTCTCTTTTATCTCATTCTCAAGTCTTATTATTTCATCATTCAATTTTTTAAGAAAAATTAAATTTGTCTTCTTATTAAGTTTTACCATCGCATGATGCTCTTGTGAGACCTGTCTTTGTGTACGGTTATGGGTTTCTTGTCCCTTTTTCTTGATGAGACATGCGTGCAGTTCTCATGCAATTTCTCTTCATTTTGTTCTTGCTTTGTGGCTTTGTGAATTCATCCCACTGAGAGAGGCCAGTTTATTTTCCCCTCAAAGTCAAAGTGAAAAGTTTGAGTATTTTATGTCTTATTCACTTTTCTCTAGGCTAAGAGAAGAATGAGGGACAGGCAGGACTACATTGAAGCAGTATAAAATCTTTGTAACGATCCCTGGGCTTTTTCCTCTCATCTGAGATTGTGTTAAATGCTCTCTATAAGATTCACTTCATCTAGCTGTGGGTGCACTAGTTCTTTGGTGGGTGGGTGTGTGGGTGGGGTGGGTGGGGGATGGTTTCCTTTCATTGATCATCCACACTAAAAATTCATTAGATGAAATTACGTTTCTGCCCTTGTTTTACTATTTGTTTGTTTTGCGCACTTTATCAAGGTACTCAAGGGAAATAATACTTTAAGGAAGATTCAACTGGCCATCTTAACATGGAAGGATGCAATTAAGTCTGTAATCTGTTCAGAATGTATTCCACCATGCTAAATAGGCTCTTCTCTAAGGGAAAACTTTGTTTTCCATATGCTTCTTAATTCTACTCATTGAATAATAATTCTTCCCCACAGATTTTTAAATGTCATTTTTAAAGAAAATACATGTATGTTTTTATTCTATTTGGTTCCTTATAATGTATATTCCTGCCCCAATGCCATTGTTCTAATCACTGTAGAGTAACAAAAGTATTTTCAGATCGACAAAGCTCCTCTATTATTTTCCTTCCTCATTGTCATCTTTGCCTTTTCCAGGCATTTTCCTGGATATATTTTAAATTCTTTACAAAAAGGATTTAAGGGTCTGTGACATTTAGTCATTTTGATTCAAGTTTCATTAAAGCAATGTTTTTGTTTGTTTTTTTCTCCAGGAGAACTTATCTTTATAAATGTTAAGATTCCTGCCAGGAAATAGGTTCACTATTTATTCACATCTTTTTCTCATGATCTGAAATTTGTTTCCCCTCATACAAATCTGACACAATTGCGGTGTAAATTTTTGTCCCTTTTAGGTACAAACCCTTTTGCTGTGTTTGATAGAGAGATGCTTTGTAGATGATTATGGCCACCCTCTCGGAAGACCCCAGGGGCTACTTTTGCTTCACATGGGGTGCCTCACAAACATCGCTGCACAGGGTCGCATGAGCCTCCATTAGTATTTCCATGTTGGTGGCTGTGCTGCCAACGAGGGCAAAGCAATAGCCTTTCTTTCCAACAGTTTATTTCAAAAGGTTCAAACGGAGAAGTTAAAAGAGTTTACAGTCACCACAGGTAAATCCATCATCCAGATTGGGCTGTTCATGCTCTCCCGACCCTTGGCTTACCAGTCTCGGATCTGTCCTGACTCCCGGGGGGTGCAAGCGGTACGAAGCTCAGTCGCTAACCGAAGGGTTGGAGGTGGGAGCCCACACAGAGGCCCCTCGGAAGAAGGCCTGGTCACCCACTTCCCCAAATGAGTGACACACGCAGCCTCTCTGCACATGTGGAGTTCACTGTGAGCTGCAATCAACTCAATGGCAACGGTGGTAGCAGTAAGGGATCTTCCATATTGTTGAAATATGTACACATCTAAACCAGGAAACTCTTCGATAGGCCTGTCTGGGACAGAGGCCAAGTGCTTTACTGTAACATCTAAGGCCTTTTACAAGCTTACCACAGCTTGCCTTTTCACTACTGTTTCTCATTATTCCTCTCTTCTTTGTGTCTAAGTGTTCATTACCTGAAGAATTCTTACCCAGACTTGGTTAAATCCTACTTCCCCTTCATCTGGACTTACCAAACCGTCCCAGAATTCCACTACCAAACCAGAATTATGCTGGCTAAATTAGTTGCTACCATAAAGCTCTGCCCATGCATCATAGTATATTATATTTGTTTATGTGTCTATTCACCAGCAGACCATGAGATCATCCAAAACAAAACCCTATGTCATCATGTTCTGTATCTTTGCACCAAGTAGGGTGCCTGACACATTCACCAGGCGTTGAGGGCAAGAGATAACAAGTCTTGAGAATGACGAAAATACAAGCAACCTTCAGCTCCCTGAGAAAGTACCTTTGCGTCTGGGAAAGTGGAGTACTCACCTGTACAGGCATGCCCATATCTAACTTCAGCCCCAAGTAAGGGTCGATATAGATGGTGAGCATGGGTTCAGAAGGGTCCTGGGCAAAGCGCTCCAGAATGGCATCATGCTCTTCTGTCCATGTGGCATCCGCCAGTCCTGTCAGTGCAGCTCGAGAGATGAAAAGGGGCTTCTACAGAGGAGAACAGACAGAGCAAAGCAGTGAAGGTGGTTGGAATGAGTCACTGCCCCCACCCACCACTGCATGTGAGGACATGGCAAACAGGAAGAGGAGCCAGACAAGTTCAGGATGGTGAAAAGAAAGCTGAAGATGAACTAACTGACTGAGAGGCTGCAAGCTTTTGAAGGACCAAATAAACCAGGCCCCCTGCCACCCAGGGGGACAAACAACAGAAACGTGGGTGAAGGGAGACAGCGGACGGTATAAGATATGAAAATAATAATAATTTATCATTGATCAAAGGTGGAAGAGTGGGGGAGGGAGGGAAAAGAGAGGAGCTGATACCAAGGGCTCAAGTAGAAAGAAAATGTTTTGAAAATGATGGCAGCACATG